GGAAAAAGATGGTGGTGATTGATATAATGTCCTTTTTGCCCTCATATATGTGTTCGTTTAAAAGTATGACTGGATAGACTAATCATGATAATCTTGTTGACCTGTGATAACATCTCGAACCCTAATCAATTCATTCAGTTGGCTATTAACCCCAATTAGATAATCAGATATAATAGAAAAATCAAAACTGAAAAGTGAAATTACATGCATATTACCGTTTCAATGACAGCAGAATAGCATCAGATCATCAAAATCAATGGTTTTTTTAGCAATGGACAAACCTTAACCGAGAATGAAGATTGAAGAAGGAAGAAGACCGTGAAGAATAGCAGCGTGCAACAATTCAGTGAAGCGATTCAGTGACTTAGTGAGACATCGACTCAACAGAAGAGTAGATTAGTAGAAGAAACGATTGGAGAAGGATTAGCCGCTTAGAATCGAGAAACGATGCTTTCTTTTCCCCCCTTCACACATCACCATCAGAGCAGGAAGAGGGCTTCACGGATTCTTCCCACCTTCACTGCTTCGGCCTCATCGATTCTGGAGACGACCTCCACGCAAATCGATCAACCAAATGCGACCCTTTGCACCCCCTTATTGCGTTCATGTTTCCCTCTCACTGTATTCCATTCGTCTGTCTTCTTCCATCTTTGCCCGTTAGTCAGGTGATGAACACGATGACGGTTGTATATAAGAAAAGAAACTAGGTTAAAAGTGAATGCTAGCATGATTATAGGAACTATTTGTGGAAGCTATTTATCAAATTACTAAAATACCCTTGTTTATTTATTTAATTATTTAAATTTTTATTTAATTTTGATTGACCCACATTTATGCATACAATCACACAATAATTAGTTAGAATACCTGAACCTATCTCTCTCTCTCTCTCTCTCTATATATATATATATATAATATATATATATATATATATATATATATATATATACACTTTTGATTGCAAAATTTCGAATACAATTTTCATTTTGCTTTAACCTGAACACATTTTTTATCGATATTTTTCTCGTGCATTATAAATGGTGTCTATTGTACTTACATTATGTTCATTTTGACTCTTCAAGTTCGAAATAATATTACGTGGAGGGACATCATTATCTATCATGTCTTTCACCATACGACACTCATCTTTAATCAATCGTTTTGCAAATGCATGACCCTCCATATACATTACAGGGTCATGAATATGTCTTATATTAATTTCTGACCAATTCTAAGGGACAATCTATTTTGTTTATCCCCGTGTTTCTGCTAAATGCATTTGTACCTCTATAAACACCATTCCGATCACAAACTAAAATGACTTTTGAAACATAGCCACTTTTTGTTTTTGATCTCTTTGTAATGACCACATATCCAAGAATTCGTGCCACATTGTCAACCCATTCATTCAAATTTTCACGAGTGCTAAACACCTGACAAATAAAATACATAGCTGGTCAGTTTGAAAATAGTCTCAACGTATTAATATGCTAATACTATCTAGAAAAAAACAAACCTGATTAGTTTGAAAAGTCACCATATGATTCAATCGTTGTAGATATATTGATTTACATAAAGATATGAGATATGAAATTTTCGAATGATTTCAATCGATTGATCGATCGATCGTATTATATATACGTAATAATAGAATAAAACAAAACATCAAATCAATTTTTTATTATTAAAGATAAAGTTAAAAAGACATCAAAATAATAATAATAATAATAATAATAATAATAATAATAATAATATGACAGAGCTAGGAAAGTGCTTAAGATTATATTTCTCTATGTTTTTTGGATTTAATAGGCAATAACTCAAACAATGAAAGTATTCTTGTATGCGAAAATACGATGGCTTTATCTACATATTTTCTTATAGTTTATATATAGAAAGTTTAATTTATTGTAGTTGGTAAAATCATGTTGAAAAAAAATCTTATATAATAATAATAATAATAATAATATATTTATTAAAAATAATGAAAATAGAAAAATGACAAAGATAAATAAAAAAACACAAAGGTAGTTCAAATGAAAAAAAATAATATTATGTATTTATTAAAAATATTAAAAAAAACAGTAAAAAGACGAAAAATAGGAGGAGGAAGTGGAATTTGGGGTACCTTTGTGTTTTTTAATAAAGACAACAAAAACAAAAAAATTAATAATAAAGACAAAAAAAAACAAAACATGTGAAATCAATTTGGGTTAAAGATAAAATAGAAAGATAAAAAAAAGGGATGCAAGTAGGAATTTCAAAAATTTAGAGAGTACATACAACAACAACTCTTTTGAAAAATAGTACCCAAAATTAAATAATAAAACAAAAGCCTTTGTAGAATTGATGGAATAGGTGCTACTCTATTATTTTGGTTTTTGGAAGTCCCGGTGTTGGAATCTTCATACACACATTTAGATTTAATCGGGTTATTACCACAAAAACCATCAGGTCGTTATTTGAAATTAGCCCTGACTTTTTTTTTGTTCAACAAAAGCCATTATTTTTCAAAAATGTTTCATTTTTTGGCAATCACCCGGTTGCCAACCGGTTACTTAAATTAGTAGCTCATGTGCTAATCGATCTACATGGGTTGCTGATCGGGATGTCATGACCGACAGCTGCCCCTTGCAAAAGCAACAAAAGCAACAAAAGGGTAAATGAAGGCCATAGGTTTCAAAATCTAGTGTTTTAGAAGAGTGGAGGGACGCCTCATCCGCTAAGCCAAAGCCTATTTTGTTAAAATGCTTTCTTTTATATTATATAACATGTACCTATACAACTAATTACATAAAAAAAACATATTTCTACATATAAAATACTCCTTTATACATATAAAAAAAATACATTTTCATACATGTAAATACATAAAAAATGTTTTATTCACATAAAAATATGTATTTATGTAAATAAATACAAAATGTATATATTCATAGAAAAATATATATTTAGAGATGAAAATACGTTTTTTATACTTGAATATATCTAAAATACATTTTTATACATATAAATACATTAAAAAATATAACACACACACACACACAATATATATATATATATATATATATATATATATATTACAATTTTTAATGTATTTATATGTATAAAAATGTATTTTTCATATAAAATATGTCTTCTTTCAAATAAATACATAAAACGTGTGTGTCTATATATATATATATATAATATAATATATTATATATATCTATATATATATATATATATATATATATATATATTCATTTAAATATGTTATACAAATGAATACATGAAGTATACTTTTATACATTAAAAGTACGTATTTATGTGTATATTTGTATACATACATATTTTATGTGAATATGTTTATATATATAAAAATGTATTTTGTCTATATATTATAATGAAATACGTATTTAAATTCATAAAATCTTTTTTATATGTTTATATGCATAAAAATATTTTATATATAAAATTATGTTTTTTGTTTATATGTTTACTGTACAAATGAGGATAATTAAAAATAAAGGGGACCGCATTAAGTAATTTGTCTTCGGTCAAGCTAGAGTGTTTGGCTAAGCTTATTTAAGCTCATTAACTTATTACCGGTTTAAGTTCATTTTTAGCTGATTACCGGTTTGTCACCGGTATAAGTTAAAAATAGTTTTTAGAAAAAAAATAGCTTTTAGGTGTCATACCGGAAATAACTAAAGATGTATAAGTCCTCTTAATTTATTAATTTATAAGTTATAATCTATAAGTTGAAAAGTGCTTATGAAAAGTCATAAGTTTAGTCAAACACCCCTAAAACTAAGAACTATGGTCACAAGATGTTACTAAATAACGTCACATCTTCACACTATCACACCACAAATCCTTGAAAATTATCACCAATCTACATCATCAATATATTTTTATTTTTTGGAAATTGATGGTTTAAAAATAAAAATATATATTTTTTAAATGTCAATACTCAAATTTTGACCATTTCCTCTATGAACAAGTATAGAACAAAGCGCTGGACAAGACAACCATTACTACCCGATGTGGTGTTCGTTAACGGAAATCCTCTATGTAGGAGTCTACGTGTAAAAATCTCACCATACCATATAGCTAGCCTAACATGGCTTGGTCTCTGTCCATACCCACACTCACGCCCCTATACCTACCCATCATACCTCCCCCTCCCCCCAACACACACGAACAACTTTACCCCATTATTAATCTACATACAATTATATTCGTCCCGCATACACCATACCTACACCCACACCCACCCTTATGCTGATGCACACCTATGTCAACCCCTTAAACACACACATACATACACGCGTGCGGGCGCGCGCACACACACACACACACACACACACACATATATATATATATATATATATATATATATATATATATATATTATATATATATATATATATATATATATATATATATACTTTTCATATTATGGCAAATTCAAGAAAAAAAACACAAAGTTTGAGCTCGTAAGTGTACAGTAAGTAAAAATTTGAAGTATATGAAATGTTTTTTTATTAAAAATAGTAATAAATAAACAAAAATCAATAATAATGTATTTTGATCATATTATATAATTACTTTTCAAATTTTCATTCGACAAATATACAACTAAATAGAAAATAGATTTCATTCCCCATATTCTTTATTTTGTGTCCTTCGATATATTTTCCATAAAATAAAATTTTGCAATGTTTTTCAACATGCCAATAGAGAATTTTTAACATATCATTTTTAATAAAAAAAAATACATTAGTTAGAATATATTATATTAACTAATAGTACGTACATGTGTTTTTTTTTTTTTTTTGAAAGAAACTTCATGCAAGGGCCGGTAGGCCAATTAAATAGTGTTCAAGAATAAACTAACAAAGGGAAAATTTTATATTTAAAGGCATCTGCTCGGCATTTCATCCACCGCTCATTTCTTTCCGATCAAATCTATAGCAATTAGCAAGAACTTTTTGCTTATCCGGCCATCAAAAACCATGGCAAATGTTTCAGAATTTGTCTCCAGGTAATCTTATTTTTTTTTATAATAAAAACATGATATATATATATATATATATATATATATATATATATATATATATATATATATATTATATATATATATATAGTTCAATACATCATTATTATAATAATAATAATAATAATAATAATAATAATAATAATTATTATTATTATTATTATTATTATTAATTACTACTACTTTTGTTGTTATACATAATACATACACATTCATATAAATAATAAATAGACATACATAAATAAATATGAGCAATGCGTGCAAAATTTAGTACCCACTAAACAGTTAGTAATTGATATTTCTGCAAAAATTACTTAGATGTTGTATGACATTCAATAATATTTGGAAAGATGATACATACAGTCCCTCCACGGCAAGTTTTTATATTAAAAACTGTTCTTAAGTAAATATAAAATCTTGTTTGCGAAATTTCAATTTAAAACAGTTCCAAAATTTTAAGCTCATATGATTTTGATCGGTTTTATTCAACGAATGTTTAAATAATGCTCGCAAGTCACAGGTGATTATTTCTAGTTTTTTTTTCGAATTCTGATAAGACCACCATCAAAATGTATATTCATCACAAATTACAAACTTATTAGTGAGATTCTTCGCAAAGCAATTAATCTTAATTAAACAATAAACAAATATAGTAAATTCCAAAAACAAAATTAGTAACCCAAAATTTATAAAATTTATAAAAGATGGAACTTCGTTCTTATATAAAGATCTTTACATTTCACAATAAAAATAATGTAGAATAAAGTTGGATCGGTTTTCTAAATCTTTTTTAAGTTTAAAAGTAAAATAAGAATACGAGTAGAATCATTCAACTTTCATGGTAAGCAATTCACTATGAGAACGATTTTATTATCAACACTCATATAAACTTAGATCTAACGGTTGTTTAGATGGTTCTCAAGATATAATGGACGCAAGGATGATAAAAACTATGCTTTTCATGAGATAGAATTTCGATGTAGGATCATCAAAACTATGTTGTACTCATATATCTGGATGCTTCATTTATATTTTTCTTTTCACAATTTAAAGAAATTAAACTAAGATTCTGAGTAATCCATGAACTTCATTCTTGTAACGCTGTTTAATTTTTCTTTAGGTTGTCAATGAAAGTAGCAGTTATCACTGGTGGAGCTCAGGGAATCGGTGAGGCAACGGCAAGGTTATTCATAAAACATGGAGCCAAAGTCGTAATTGCTGATATCCAAGACGACTTAGGGCAAGCAGTTTGTAAAGATATTGGTCTTGACAGCGCTATGTTTGTCCATTGTGACGTGACTGTTGAATCAGATGTTGAAAATGTCATTAACATCACACTTGCCAAATATGGTAGGTTGGACATAATGGTCAACAATGCAGCCATTGTAGATGATGGAAAACTCAGTATTCTCGATAATGATATGTTAGATTTTGAAAGGGTTATGAGAGTAAACGTTACTGGTGTGTTCCTAGGAACCAAGCACGCAGCTCGAGCCATGATCCCAGCTCGCAGAGGTAGCATTATTATGTTGGGAAGTGTGTCTGGGAGCATTGGAGGAATCATTTCTCATGCTTATTCGAGTTCAAAACATGCGCTTGTGGGTCTCACTAAGAATACGGCTGCCGAGCTTGGCCAATATGGGATTCGTGTTAATTGCTTATCACCTCATTTTATCCCTTCACCTATGGCTACAAATTATGTACAAGATCACCCTGATAAATACTCCAAAGTTTATACAAACCTCAAAGGGATCTTGCTGCGTATAGAAGATGTGGCAGAAGCTGCTCTTTTTCTAGCAAGCGATGAGGCCCGGTACATGAGCGGGCATAATCTAGTACTTGATGGAGGTTTTACTGTTATTAATCCAGCTTTTGGTCTATTTGCTCGAGCTTCCCCTATCGAGTAACTTTGATATGTGTAGACTTGTTCTATTTTGATTTGGTTTAAAGACGTCATGTTTGTACTTGTAAGGCTTCTACTATTGTACTGTACCGCATGTAAGAAACTAAACTAAAACAATTTAGTTGTGTGCTGGGGAGAAACGAAGAACAAAACAGAAAAATAAATTCTTGACTTGCACACAACGTTTTATGAGAACCACAGCACTTAAATTTAGAGTTCAAACTATTACATCTATATATACTAATTGGATTAGAAACCTACTCAAACTCTAATACCTACATACTAGATAAAACAAAACCAAAATATAGTAATTTTCCTATATTGCCCTTGACTATAAAATTTGCTTTTCAAACCGATTAACTCAACAATCACCCCCTTAATCGGTTTGGTCATACCACTCGCTCAAAACAATGCCGGTTCCTCTTCGATTAGACCCGCTTCTTCCTTTTCCCATTTAGGACACTCGTTTTTATAGTGACCAAGCTCACCACATTTGTAACATCTAACGTGACTTTTATCCCGGACACGTTCATTACCATCTCGACTTCTCCCGGACCCCCGACCTCTTCCCCGGCCACGTCCAAAGTCATCCCGATTTGAACGTTCATTGCCACAATGCTTACAAACATGTGACTTTTCATCACTAGCCAACAACAACCCACCTTGAGTGTCCTCCACTTTCTCGGTTCCTCTTATACGCTCCTCGTATGCCATCAATCTACCAACCACTTCATCAAATAACATTGAATCCAACTCAAAACATTGCTCTATTGAAGCCACGATTTGAAGAAACGACTTAGGCATCGAATCTAGTAACCTTTTTACCAAATCACCTTCTTCAAGCTCATATCCAAGACTCCTTGCTTTTGACGCTAAACCGGATAATTTTGTCACAAAATCATCAACCGTTTCATCCTCCTTCATGCGTAAACTTTCAAGCTCCCTTTTTAAGGTTGCAAGTCGAGCTGTTCTCACCCGATCCACTCCCAAATACCGTGTTTTTAGCCCATCCCACACTTGTTTTGGGTCGGTGTAACTCGCCATTTGCAACACCATGTCTTCGGGTATCGCTTGAAACAAAAAGGCAAGAGCTTGTTTTGACTTCTTTTGATCTGGTGCTTTATCTAACGTTTTCGGTTCGACCGTCTCCCATATGCCATGTGCATCCATAATCGACTTGACTTTAACCGCCCACACCGGATAATTCGTTGGAGTCAAAACCGGAACTTGATATGTCAACGAACCTCCTTCTTTAACCAACGACATCCTTTTCTCCTTAACCCCGACTTCTTTAATCAAGCTTGTTCCGAGAGCACTCTTCCACCGGACAACAAGACAAGGTCACGACCACCTTTACCGTCTTCCGTCACCCCCAAAACGAACCGAATCAAAGCCACCCGCTTTGACGTCTTCCCGTTCGTTTACTCCGCGCCTCCGGTTAATCTCTCACAAGCCCGATTAAAAGAAATCGGGGTTGTTTCTAATCAACCTCGAATCACACCCCCTTCAACGAAACCGCGCTCTGATACCAAGTGTAAGAAACTAAACTAAAACAATTTAGTTGTGTGCTGGGGAGAAACGAAGAACAAAACAGAAAAATAAATTCTTGACTTGCACACAACGTTTTATGAGAACCACAGCACTTAAATTTAGAGTTCAAACTATTACATCTATATATACTAATTGGATTAGAAACCTACTCAAACTCTAATACCTACATACTAGATAAAACAAAACCAAAATATAGTAATTTTCCTATATTGCCCTTGACTATAAAATTTGCTTTTCAAACCGATTAACCCAACACCGCATTCCTCCTATATAAAATACAATAATTACCTATCGAAATGCTCTAAATATACGGAACATATTTGTATAGTAAGTTCTCTATGGAAATTAACTAGGGAAAATGTCATTGTAGCCCTACAAAGTCTTACATTTGGTTTAAATGGTCATTTATGTTACTTTTTGGCAGTTTAAAGGAATAAACCGTCATTTTAGGTGTTAAAGAAGCCATTATTGGAAGTGGAGAAGGAATAGCCGGTTGCCAGGCTTACATGGCATGCGTTCTGGCATTTTAGTAAAAACAAATACCCACGTGGCACTAACACGATCCATGTGGCTTGTTTTCTTTTTTATGATGCATTTTTTTAAAACTTAGTTTTTGAGATTCAATAGATAATCAAAACAGGAAAAAGAATTACGAATGAATGAATCTGGGGTTTTGATCTTTAAAATACAATAGAAATCAAAATTTGAGTGTTTATTCTTCTTTCTTGTAACTCGTATATAAACCACGACACTCTGATCCCACTTGTTCTTGTTGTAGAAGACCAGTATTCTAAAAACCCTAAGTCGCATTCCCCAAATGACCAGAATCAAACAAATCAATACTTATGCTTTTACTTGTCATCTTGAAACACTTAAGCATATCCCAAATCGTCTATGGATTTAGGCTTATGAAAACGGATGGACATCATTGTAGGTAGTGAAGATGAAATCTGATGATGGAGGTGAGGAGGAACACAAAGGTAAAAGATTTAAAGATCTAATTTCAAATACATATAGAAACCTTCAACGATGGTAGAGGTGGCATTAGTGAAATCTTGTTGTGGTGGAGACTCAGAAGAGAGGGCTTGATGAGAACCGAAGCCAGTGAAACCCTGCGCTGGAATGATGGAAGAAAGAAACACAAAATTCATGGTCGACGATGTGTGTGTGTGTGAGAGAGAGAGAGAGAGAGAGAGAGAGAGAGAGAGAGAAACGCGAGCAACGAAGCTTTTGGGTGTTCGTATGGGAAGCCCTCCAAGACATGACTCTCATGGTCCTCGCTGCTTGTGCAATTGTCTCTTTGATCGTCGACATAGCCACCGAAGGGTGGCCGAAAGTCTCCCACGATGGTCTCGGAATCGTGGCGGGTATTTTGCTGGTTGTGTTCGTGACAGCAACAAGCGATTATCGTCAATCGTTATTGTTCCGGGATTTGGACAAAGAGAAGAAGAAGATATCGATTCAAGTTACTAGAAACGAATATCGGAAAAAGTTATCGATATACGAGCTTCTTCCCGGTGATCTTTTCCATCTCGCCATCGGAGACCAAGTTCCGACTGACGGAGTTTTCGTCTTCGGATTTTCAGTCTCCATCGAAGAATCAAGTTTGAACAAGAGGTGGAACCGATGAAACCTTTATCCGAATTTATGAGAACCAAAGAGGCACAACCGGTGAAACCCTTGATGGGAATCGATGAAAACCGAAGAGGTGCAACCAGTGAAACCCTGTGCTGGAATGATGGAAGAAAGAAACACAGAAGTCATGGTCGACATTGTGAGAGAGATAGAGAGAGAGAGATATATTTGGGTTGGAGTTATGAGTTGGATTTTCCATTACTTTTTTTTTGTTATTAAAAAAACGCCACATCATCAATAACCGGATATCATAAGTTATAGTCCCCTTTTTAATAGGTCAACATAGATTTTGCTCCTTTAAAATGCTAAAAAAATAACATTAGGGACATTTTAAACCAAAAATTGAAATTTTATAGGGTACAATGACATTTTCCCAATTAACTATGTTAATGTCTAAGGATTTAGGGGTTTTTCTTAACGAAAACTGCTTTTAATTTATTTTGTAACATTTGGTGTCTTATGTCCGATATAATCACATGTTCAATATATTAATACTTTATATAAAGATAGTTTTTTCTTCTTATTCGTTGTTATTCGATACCCATTCAAAATAATATTTTTTACCATAAAAATGAAAAACTCAATCTTAATTAAGCAATGATATCGTTGCTATTCAAAATAAATAGCTTCTAGTCGAGAGGACAAGATGGAATTTATTGAGAATCAAGTATCTGAAACTATAGAGTACTCTTCGTCACAAGCTCCGGCTACAGTCATTTGAAATGTCTGACTCCTTTTGTATTTTGTACACCTGCTTCATACTTATTCCACTCTTCTCGGCCTTTGATGATGGACAATATGATGTAATATGACCATATATTTTACAATTGAAACATCTTCGTCCCCTTTCACATATGTTGGCACGGTGCCTTATTTCTAAACATTTGTGACAATTGACCTCTTCGGACGGTATACTTTTCTCGTGTACTCTTCCCTTTTTATGATGATACTTATTTTTCCCTCGCATTCACATTCTTTCTTGCACTTGCTACTTTGTCATGCTTGTCTTTTTGTTGTATTTGCTTGCACCTTCCGGTTATTTCTCATGCCTTGGAGCTCATTCTCTTTTGGACAACATATAGCGATATAATCAAAATCTTCACAAATAAACATTTTGTCTCATTAGTACACATGTTGAAGTCATGTCCCTTTCTCTACACTTGAAACAAATAATGTCTTTGTTTTATCATAAGTCACTTTCATCATTTCTCTTGCTGCATTGGTTACTTTGCTCCTCTTTGTCTTTATTTTCCAAGGTCTTCTTATCTCTCCTAAATTTTCCATTAGCTCGAGTTGAAGTAGTCAATTCATCATTCGCTAATTGGAAATCCCTAACTAACTCATTAGTAAATTTTTCTACTTTTGTTTATTCATTTGGAATTAGTCTTTTTGCAAGACTCGTGAGTTTGAGTAACTTTGTGTTAAAAGGTTAATATTTTTCATAATAAAACTTAAACATTAATTTATAGATTATTGGGTAAGTTATGTATAAGTGTATATTTGTGGGGGTGTGTTTGTGTATCTTTTAGGCAGGAAGTCGGGTTTGTACGCGGGCTTCGGGTCATATCCATGGACCTTTCTACCCGAAGTACTTAAGTGTTGTAGCTGGGTGATTGAGTCATTTAGATAACATTTTTCCTTCACAAACTCTCTCATCCCTCTCGTCTATAGATTAGGGTTTTCTATCTAGGGTTTGTTCATATATCGTGTTTACATATTTCTAAATGATTTGTAATATGAGTGTGAGTGTGATATGTAGTGAGGTTTCAAGTGTAATCTGTTGATGTAAACCATCTGTTTCATAGTGAATGAAATGAT